GGGGGGTACGCTTGACTTGGTTTGACTGTAACTGGTCGTTGTAGTCGTGTTTCACTAAACCTCGATTTTAAGATTGTAAGCTGTTTATATACGAGCGTAATTGATTCTCTCTGATCCCAGCAGATAATCGAGTTGGCTTTGCCCTGATGGCATTCCTGGTTCTAGAAACGTCTGTATTATACAATAGACGAATTTTGTCGTGCTCCCATCGCCGATTTCAGCAGTATGATTCTAGCACGATCTTTGCAAAGGTTTTGCGACGGTTTAGTTTTGCTCGATACGTCGGAGGTATCTTTAATTTCACCAAACTCGCCACAGATTCCATTGAGAAAAGAATCCACAAAATTCCTCACATATAAAACGGCCCGCAAGTGCCCTCTTGAATGTAAGCGAAGCACACATTCTCCATTTGGGGAACTTGCACGTCGCTCTTACCAGCGAAAAGAACAACGATTGAACAAATCAATAAAACAAAGAACAACACGAAATGTTATTAAGTAACCCTCTCTGTCTTCACACTTCCAAGATCATTTATATTTCCTGTACTTTGATGTGTTTCTGCATAGCAAGGCGGAATGGGAGGCGAAAAGGGAAGTTGTGCGCATTCGAACGTGTCACCATTGTCGTTTGTATCACGATAGTACTCTTGTCCCCTCTCACTTTACATTAGAACTAGAGGCGGCCATCACATTTCATCTTTTCGAGCTCGTTTAACCCTTTTAAACAAATTCAAAGGAACAACAACCTCTCAAGAAGACCCCTAAAGCCAGTAACTGACCCGAGGTCAACTTTAATTTGACAATTTTTTTACGACGAAAGGTTACATTCAAAATGTGAACTACAAACATTTTTAATGTTTGCACAAATTCATGGTTATAAATGATACTCAAACTGCATGCTTGGACTAAAAAGCGGTTCATTATAACAGTAGTGCAGGGTTTCTGGTAATATACCGGCCTATAAAAAACTACAAAACTAAAACAGCGTCCGAGTCAGTCAACCTCTGGGTGACATCATCTTAGGAACCGCCAACAGTTCAAACCAAGTTTGTGTGCTTTAGAGAGTTACTTATATCATGTTAAATATACTTTAGGTCTCTATGTGCTGGCTGGCAACGGCAATGATTGATTAAATACCTGATTGAGATACATTTAAATGTCGATAAATAACTGGCAAGCTACTCGCCAAATGCATTGTCCACGTGCAAACATAACGAGAGTGGATAGAAACTGAACTAGCGTTTCTAGTAGCTTCCTCCGCCCCAAGGCGGTTTCTGCCACTTGGAGTCGGCCTCATGTGTTAACATTGGGTTCTGACTTTTCAACTTTTTTATGTTACTACACTAATAAGTTTGGTTTTAATTTAATTAATGACACTCTAATGAAAACAGTCCTAACCCTACGACTAACATTGGAATAACACAAACACTACGACTAATGCTATATGTATTTAGGAGCTGTATGAGTTCATGATTTTTTGTGCATTCCGTGTCTCGGGAGGAACAAACCTCCTACTCATGCCTTTGATATGCGAACAATCCGCTACCTCGGCGTTTCATAATAAAGTGTGCGATGACCAAGCCTCCTGCAATGCCCACCACTAACATAACAATCGCAATCCCTGCTGTCGCACCTTTCGACACACCAGAATTCTTATTGCTTTCTTTTCCTGGACTTGGTGTGACAGGGGTGGGCGACAGGGGACTGGGAGCAAAACCAACAAAGAAGGAATCCTTGTAAGCAGGTAGTGTTTCTGTTGAGAACAAAAAACTGTAAGTTTTTTATAACAATCAAGATTGTGACTTGTAACTCAAGACTACCGAGCATGCGATACACTGGAACTCGTAGTGGAGCTTGCTCTATGAGTAATCCAGGCCTCTTGGCAAAGTTGATAAATAAATAAATAAATAAATAAATAGATAAACAAGACAGGTAAATTATCATTTTAATCACCATCATAACACACCATTATCAATATTATTATCATAAGTAGGTTGAGCATGATGATAGAGGTGAGAGTAGTCCTAAATAGGACTAAACATTGCTGACAGTGATCAGCGACGTTTCAACAACCTGTGCAGTAGTCAGAGTGAGTTTTATCACGTCAGTTGATTGAATTTAACTCTGTTTATTGTCTTGATTGGACAATTAAGTTCCGATGTTATTGGTCGTCTGTCAGTTAAGCCATGATGTTATTGGTTACGAAGACGTTAAATGTCATTGGTGCGTCTAGATCCGTGTTTCGCCACAGTTTAACAATCGTTTATTGTTAGTCCAATTATGGATTGTCCAGTCATTCCGCCGTGGTCAGTTTTGCTTGAGTCCGTCATTAAGTCGTTTGTATGGTGCTGGTAATTGTTGACTGCGATTCAGTGTCGTTAAGTTAGTAAACCAGCTGTCTAAAGTACTGGATTTCAATAAAAATCAGTGGAGCTCTTGAGGGCGAACACGCTGATGAAGCAGTAAAAGTGTACTTAACTGGAGCATGCTACTTACAGGAATGATCATTTTACGTGGTCACTTAACGCAACAGAGATTTATCAAGAAGACTGAAAGAAGAGTAAGGTGTCTGTTAAAACTAAACTCTCCTCTAAAAGAGGCTACTCTTGGCTGTTTGTTCAATATTCACTAACCATTCATTGTTGCCACTTTGAAGTTCCCAGACGCTACTGATTTCTTCAAAACATCCAAAGCCTCTAGAAGTCCTTTCTCAGAATAGACCACTACATCAGCTCCAATTGCATTGGGCTTGTCTAGCAATATAAATGCTACATCAATGTCTGCTTTTTTATCTTTCCTTCCTTCCAACACCTAAATAATAATAATAACAATAAACAGATAAGGTTAGACAATATTCTCTCCACTTAGAAGCACCCCAAAGGATAAGCAATCCTTCATTTCAGATCAAATGCAGCCTTTATTTAAGATCAAATCCTTTGTTTGCCACAAGCGCATCCAAGTCCACATTTTTTATATGAACCAGGAACAGAAGAGCTTTTTCACAGTGATAATTTTTTCTCAGTGAGCAACAATGATCATGTTTGACCTTTTATGTTGACATCAATAAAACAAAATAGATGTGATGCTGATCTGTCATAAAGTAGTCCTTACCCGGATTCCATTCACCCTGATGATTGAGACATTGGCTGCAGCACTAATGGCCTTGGTCACATTAAGTTTGAACTTGTTTGAACCGCTGTACTTGTCATAGTTTCCTGATAATATAATTTGATCATAACTACATCAGCGAAATACAATGTAGCTTTACTGATTGCAATGTTGTTTTTACCTTTTAAGCATTGAAACCAACAACCACATTCTTATGACAGTCAATGATGCAGTTATGTGCATAAATGTCTCAAAGGTCTGTCACCTAGCTACCTATCAGATAAATTGTCAACTCGAGCTATTGCCCACGATGGACAGACAAGATATAGAGATCGCCTCAATATTCCATCTTGTAGAATTAATGCTGGCCAACGTGCTTTTTATTACCGTGGTGTGAAAATGTGGAATAATTTAAGTAAAGACTTAAAGGAAATCATAAATACTAAAGTTTTTAAGAGACGTCTTATTAATGAACTGATTTGTAACTTGAACTAGGTTAGATGTTGAATTTTGTACAAAGTTACTATTTAGATAATGTTGTACATAGTGTTTTCATTTAATTAAATAATTAATTTATTCATCCACTTGATTTATTTAATTTATTTTGATATTGATGCTGAAAAGCCCTTTTCAGGGATGCTCATAGCCTGTTCCAAGTGTTCAGATAGTGGAAAGCAGTGCAAAGTAAAGAAAGTGATGAAAACTAGAGGGGCACTGGGGAGAGAGGTGCACTGCTTTCCACTATCTGAACGCCTGGAACATGCTAGGACGCTCAATAAAGTCTATGTATAGTCTACAGATACCTCTCTATTACAAACAGTTTGTTTGGTCCCAGAAATGCCAAAAATCATACATTCCCTACCTCTATAATACGGACACCTCCGTAAAGCAGACAGTTGGTTCTGTCCCTTTGGTGTCCATATTAAAGGGGTTGACTGTATAATGTATATCTAATGTATTCTAAATACCATCCTCTAAACATTTCTAATAGTACTGATGAAGAGAATTATTTGCTTAAACAACCCCCATGAGTGAGTGACCAACATCTATTTTCTCTAAACAAAATCAATACATACTAAAGAGGAAAAGTTATAAGAATAGATAAAATGATCCTTAAGGGAAAGTGCTTTGACCTTTAAAAACAATTTTCTTCACCAAGGGAACTTTCTGGGCAATTTATATGTGGATATTGGGAATAGTTAAAGTCAAGAGGTTACATATGTACTTAAACATTCTTAATCATTATGCTATAAGGAAGATATGAGATGCTGGTCATGGTTAAAGAATTGAAGTTAATGTAAGGGAGTATTATAATACACATGGTTTCCAGTCAAAGCACCGTGAAAGGGGTTGCAATGACATCAATGCCTGAACTACACAGGGTGTCAATAAGCACTTTTAAAATTTTTCAACATTGTTACATGACCTATGGGGCAGGGGTATCAATTAGTACATGTATTTTGCACAATGATATATAGTTTATGGCTTGCTTGCATGCAATCGCTGTTTTAAGTAGCCTTACACTACTTGTAAATAATACGTGGCACTCTACTATGCATCAAGCCCCAATATCGCAAACAAGTGTGAATGCATCTAAAAGCAAAAAGACAAGCATATTTATCTTCTTCAACAAATCTTCCAAATTTTAAATCTTTACCAGCTAAACTGAAGTGAACAAGGCGTTGCTGTTCAAAAGTGAAGCAGGGCTTGATATCAAACTGGGTCAGGGCAGCAGCCTCAGCATCAAAGTTGAAGACATTCATCTCATAATGACCCCTTGGAGTGTACCAATCAAACCTTACAGGAACTTGATGCTGGTTGTTTTGTGTTCCAGAATGGAAACGCCAGTTTGGTTTTGAGAAGTAGACCTCCATAATATACTGTCAGGAAAACACAATATAAAGATTTAGCTAGGGCTAAAAGCAAAGCTCTCGATAATGTACTCTTAATTAATTTATATAACTCAAACAAAAAAATAAAATTGTGTAATGTTAACCGGTAACAGCAATGAGATTGGCAAAAAAATCAATATGTCTAATTAGTCAAAAAAACAACTTTGCATGACTGTGCAGCACACTTTTTTGTACATTTCTTTGACGTTGTTTTGTACGGCTACATCGTGAAACTTCATAGTTACACATCTTATGTAGAAAATGGCGTCACGGTGCAAAGAAAGTCAACTTACAGCTTGCCCAAAGGGCAAGCTGTAACTAACATCTACTAGCCCGAAAATCATTTTTACTAGCCCCCAAAAAAATTTTTTCGCGAGCAGAATGAAAAAATTTTAATTAATTATTCCTTTCTTAATTACACTGTAAGATAATAAATTAATGGCTCTATTTATTCATTACAATCAGCTGTAGTTATTTGACAAGAGCAATAAATAACCGTAAAAAGTGTGAACTATAGGTAGACCTGGTAAGATACTCTTCACATACTAGCTAGTACAATAATTCAGTGTTCACCTTTTGATTATAAATGCCTTTGTCTTGAAAGTCAACTCACAATGATGAAATAAGGAATTTAAGTGAAGCTAACAGAATGAAGCCGTCATTAATCGTGTTCCGGTATACATTTGCATAAATTATTTGTTGTTGTTGTTTCATCTGACAGTTGATTTTCATGAAAAGTGAAAACAATACGGTGTGGTCTAAATATTTTAATCAACAAACACTTACAGTATCTGTGTTTAGAACTTACCACATTGAAAAGCACGTGACCAGTATTTGCTAAAACCATAATAAATTTCTCACTAGAGTTCAGGATCAAAACCTTTTGTTTACGTTCCTCACAAATGATTATGAAGAAAATTAAGACAAATAGCTTTCTCTGAATCAGTAAGAAATAGTCACGGGCAACCTCCAAAGTTTTTTCAATATCTGCTTTTACTTTATGCGCGGGATCTCAATATGTTTCGTTCGACATGTAATGCGACACTTCGTCTTGTTTATGCAGATTTCACTTCGTCGGAGTGACTTTCGGTCCGCAGGAATTTATTAGGAATTTAAAACATTTTGTCTTACAGTACTTCTGTAATTTTAATTCTCCGAAAAATCTTCACTTGCCCGTCGGGCAAGTTAAGCACAGAATTCACTTGCCCGATCGCAAAATCCACTAGCCCTGGGCTGTCGGACACAACTTTCTTTGCACGCTGGTCGTATACATGTGCTCAACAAAAGTTTTGTTGCTTGTATTCCTATTCGCTCTTCGTTTACTGCTGCTCATTTTCACCTTGCTGGCCGCTAGTCTCATTTGTTTTTAATCTGACGCTTTGGCTGTTTCTCTGTTGTCCATTTCTGTATAGACTTTTTAGTCGGACTTGACTTTGTTGTTGTTTTTGTTTCTAAAAAGTCTGTATGGCCAAAAAACCCCTACGTTGCATTACCTGTTGATTGAGTTATTTAAATTGGTATACCTGTGATGCGGACAGGTACGCGGACAGTCACATGATTACCAAAATTTCTTGGATGCATAGATAACCAAATTTTCTTACCCATGATGCTCCACTGCACGCTCTTAGCGTGCACGAGAGTTCCACTAATGAAAAGCTGCAATTACAGTAAGTACACAATTAAAGCAGGTTTAGCTCAGTTGGTAGCTAGAGTGTTTTACTGCAGGGTGGGAGATCATGGGTTCGGTTCCCAAGGTCCAACTAATGCTCAGGGATTTACTCAGAAATTAAGGTATCACCTAAGTTGCCCTGTAAACAGCTACAACGCTATGTGGCTTCCAAGGATGACCGTGCTCTCTCCTCTGCAGGGGTCTCTTTGAGTTGTTGGGAGGCCGGGGAGAGAGAAAAAGAGAGCTCCTGCCTTTTCCTTCTTCCCATTGTCCCCCACGCTCTTTCTATTTTCAATTATTGCTATTTTTATAGGGATACCCAGCGGGAGCCTATGAGGAGGAGGGAGCTGACCACGTAAAATGGCGGTCCTATTTCCAGCAGGAGATGTGAAAACAGTCTCCTCAATTAGTGTTTTAGTGCTAAATACATTGACCCTTAAATAAAGTGTATTTTATTGTACTTCAAAGCCCTGTAGTACCTCAATAGTTCTATTTCGTCTTCTACTCTTCCTCACTCCCTTACCAACCCAGATATCAGCACTTATGCCACGAACTGAAGCAGTTCCCTTGTACACCAATGCAGATGAACCATTTCTTTTTGGCATATTGAACAGTTCATGAGTCGTCTTCATGCGAATGTGATGATTTTCATCTTCACTTGCATCCCATTCTGTAAGAGTTAAGTTGAAAGGTCTGCAGACATCTGCACCAAGATGGCCACTAGAGATGTTATAACCAATGCCTGTGTTGAAGTCATGAATCAACATCACGGGGCCTCCACTAGGGTTCCAGTAATTTGAATGTTTAAGCAAAGTAAGCTTTTTCTCAAAGTCATAAATTTCCTGTCAAATAAAGTACGGAAGACAATCTGTTAGATTCCCTGCCCAAATTTCTTTGCGTCTGCAGAAGAAACAAAAGTCGATCATGTCACATCTGATAATAAGCCTTAAGGCTTTGTTTCATTAGAACTCCTTGCAACAATTATTGATTAATGGAATTTACATTCGTATAATTAAATTTTCTGTGTTGAGAATTAGACTTAGCACTGTTCAGTAATAATGCAATTTACAACTGACATGAGGCACTTGACAAATGTTTGTGTATCATGCAGGTCATGCAGGACTGTCATTTTCCTGCTAGCAGAGGTCTCGCATGATAAGGCAAAAATGGAATGAAGGAGAGAAACTCTCTGTATCCTTCCTCTCATTTTTGCCTTGTCATGAGAGACCTCTGCTAGTAGGGAAAGCTGTCATTAAGGGCCAGGATTTTCCCCGGCTAGTGTGAATGTGACCACTGCCTCCTTTAGTAGGAGAATAGAAGAAAAATAGTTCCAAATAATATCCCTGGCTGTTTGATTCCCTGCCTACTTGTATCGTTTACCCGGCAACTTGAAACATTATTCTAACGGCGGCCCTAATCAAGCCTTATAATAACCAGTGCACTGCAAGCCACTTGAAACAATTTTTTTCTCAAGTTGTTCGCCGGTTTACTTCCACCCAATTGAAAATAATTATTCTCAAGTCATTCACCTGTTCACTGCCAGCTATTTGAAATTTTCTTCCAGCCGTTCACTTGTTTACCATCAGCCATAAAAATTTTTCACATAAGCAGTTCACCCATTGCATTCAGCAAATTAAACATTAATGATAAAACGGCAAACAGGGCTCTCACTAAGGGCTGCAGGCCGGGGATTTCCTCTTGCTAATAAGAGCATGACTGCAGGTACTTTCATGGGAAACAAAAGGACAATAAAACCCCAAAATGTCCCAGCTGTTCAATTACCCGCCTACTAATATACATAAATGCAGCAACTTGAAATCTTTGTGACAGCAGCCTTGGCCTTGGCTACTGACCTGTCCAATAATTGTACTTTCATCCGCATGCATGGAAATTCCTACTGCAATTTTTTCTGTTACAGCTAGTCGTACTGTTAATAATATTGTAATGTACCAGTTCTTACCTGCCAGTTAGACACACTGTTGTTAGCCCTACTCCAAATGGCTTCTAATTCCAAGCTGAAAACTCCAGGTACAAGAGGGACAGTTTTGTTCAAGCCTTTGAGACTGGCACAATACAGCCCTGCAGGAAGCTGAAAATTGGATGCATCTGGAGGGCCAGGATGAAAATCGAAAAAATCATAAACATGATAGAAATTGTGTGTTTTGTTTAAAGGTACCATTGATCCATTCATTCTTTTAAAAGACTCTGAAGTGCCATTAATAGTTGCACGGATTACTGTGGAATTGTGTGCAACCCATGTTGTTCTCCAGTCAGATGCTGAAAAGAAGTAATCCAAGTAATAGGAAGAATAGTTGTTGGAGATGCAAGCCCTCCAGTGGTGACATCTGCAAGACAAAAATGAATAGAAAGTCAATACTAGGGGAAAAGGGTTTTTGGTTTTAGCTCACCACACCTCTCAAAAATTAATTTCAGTGTAGGTGGTTCACACTTTCCTCAAAAATTTTGGCATTTACGACTAACCCCCTTCCCTTCCAACTTTAGATTTTCCAGTGATCCTCCATTGGGTGGACATGGGTGTTAACCACACATGTACAAGTGCCAATATGCTGTACTAAAACTGTGAAAGGTTTGAAACCAGGAGTCATTTCATAAGTAGGTTGAATATGATCATCTGGGTGAACGTAGTCCTGAATAGGACTGTTCTTTACAGTGATTAACCTGTGCGGTAGTCATCTCCAGAGTCAAAGTGAGTTGTGTCACGACAGTTGATGGTATTAAACTCTGGTTATTGACCTGATTGGACTGGTTCAATTGGTTGATTGGTCAACTAAGATATGATGTTATTGGTAGTCTGCCTGTTAAACAGTGATGTTATATTGGCTATAAAGACTCATAATGTCATTGGTGCATTTTGATCTGTCTTTTGTCACAGTTAAACAGTCGTTTATTGTTAGTCAAATTGTCGGTTGTCCAGTCATTCACTCGTAGTTAGTTTTGTTTGAGTCTGTCAATAAGTCATTTATACAGTGAAAAGGGATGGGCCGATTCGAGGAAACACAACATCATCACGATCTCTCAGCAAACGTTTTACTAATAGTAAATAATAATAAAAGTTACTATACAAACAAACTACCTAAATGCGACTGCAAAATGAAATTCGTAAAAACAATAAAAACGAGGCTGTTTACCAAATGCTGAAGATGTAACAAGGTCGGTGGTTAGGGGAACCGAGAAAAAAAAAACTACTGACACGAACACTAATAGACGCGTAAAAAAAACTCTGCATAGAAAAGGGCGAGATAACAAACTAAATTATATACAACTAAATTTACATACATTGTGCAGCATAAGGAGCATAATTATCAAAATACCAGAGTGAGACAAAAAATGAAAAGAATACACGATAATGAGTAAGTGTTGGTGAAAACGAAAACAAAGGGAAAAATTTGCCACAACATTTGGTGCTGATAATAATAATATTGTTGACTATGATTCAGTGGCATTTGTTCTAAGGAAAGTAAACTAGTTTTCTAATGCGAGTTATTCAGGGGCTCCCAACAACTATTTTCTGTAAAATATCTGTTCAGAGAAGCAAATATTGCCTAGAATTTTCTATTGCTTGACGATGGCTACAAATTTCCAAGTGACTGTTCCATTCATGTACAATTTTGAAACTTACCTAATAAATTCCTTACGATTTTCTGACGCTTAATTTTTCACATTTCACTCCCCTAGTATTATGCTGTTTTTTCGAAAAAAAAAAGAAACCTAAAATTTTCGGATTCAAAAATGTGATTGAGAAAGGAATCAGAAAAAGTCCCACTTTTGTAAAGCACATAAATAGCATCTAAAATTTTCGGGAAAATAACGCTGAAACCCCTTGACATTTCGAAAAGGCTCAAAGTCTCCTAGGATTACCGAACAGATACAAATTTTATAGCATTGCTTAAAATGTATTTCTAGAAATCTAAAACTACTCTTAGTCTGGATAGCCTAAAAGGTGTTTTCAACGTATTTGGGAGAAAACCGTCAGTGGGTGCCCCTGGTCATTGATAGTGGTCTGTAGAATGCCTTACATGTATACATGTTGCTGAGTCTCAATCGCTTTGATGTTTCATCTGTAAATGGTGTTTAGCAATGTGATTGTTGACATTGCTATTTCTTGTCATCTGTTTCAGTTGTTTGTGTTCAGTCAGCTGCGTGCTAAGTTTCTGCCAGTATCGCCAATATAAGTGGCCTGGCAGTCACAACATTTGACCTTGTATACTGCTCCCTGTCTGTCCTCTGATTTGTCTTTGCACTAACATGTTTTGCATGATGATTTACAGACAATATCTATGCTACAGCCGTATTTGGCTTGCTCCTAATTTCCCCCCCCCCCTCCCCCAGGAAAATCCAGTTTAATTTCATTCTCTCATTTACAGATGTATGAAAAATTAAGTCTCAATAAGTTCACTTAGTGTGACATTATTTAGTTCATCTATTTTAACATTTTTTTTCATTTTGAGTACTGTAGTTTTTAGTTTTTATGCAGTGCCCTATTGAAACGCCCATTATGTGACAAAGGCCATCTGCAAAAAGAACTTTCTTATTATCATTATTATTAAAAACTGCTGCACCATTTCTTTGGTCTTTGCGTGACAATCCAGAGGAAAAGGCTAATGTTGTGTTTTAATTTCAATTTTGGTTCAAAGTTCCATACCCAAAAACAAAATGAAATGGAATTTAAACTGAGGAAAAAATTGACCCACAACATATGAACCTGAGACTCAGTGTATAAGTACAGTGTATGCTACATGTTTGTTTCAAATAATTATTAATCCTTTGTTGATCCATTTTTGTTATGCTTCTTTGTCTCATATCAACATAGCAGCTCTCAGACAAATTTCGAGGAAAATAAAAATAAATACTTAGTAAGAAAACTAAGTAAAATTTGAACAACAACTTTTTCTAACCTATTTTAAAACTCGTTTTCCTTTGTCTCAATAATTATGTTCAATACACTAACATGAACATTTTCAAACCAACAACAAAACTTTGAATCACAATGTAGAGTCAATTATTATGTATAGTGCCTTTTTTGTTGCATAAAGTTTATTTTTTTATGTCTTTGGTCAATATTTTGGCCAGCTTGAACAACCAATCACAAGTAAGAGGATTTAAGCAGGGCTGTCAACCTGTCACGTCTTCGAGTATTGAGAATTGATAAGGAGGGGATGATAGATGATGTTATAATGTACCGCACATGATGTCATTTGTGATAAAATAATTAATAAAAATTATGACAAATTTTGTCAACTCCAGTCGTCACAAATTTGCGATAACACAAAACAAAGATTTGTTGGCATTGTAACATTTAGCCTACGAAAGCAGATGTCCCTTTTTCGGTCATCACTTCTCTCCATGCAGGCCATGTAACATTTGACCTGATTATTATTACATTACAATGGTACACAGTTTATGAGGAAACGTTCGATGTTAACATTAAAATAGCTTAAACAACACAAAATAGTTGGGAGATTTCATAATCTGGAGACCGGGAGATATGGTCCAATATCTCATCTGGAGTCTCCCGGATAATCCAGGAGAGTTGACAGCACGGTAAATGGAGCTTGAAATAACATAATAAAAACAAAACATTCACAAAAATGTGCTGTGTCACTTTATGCTGTAAGATCACTGGTGTGGAACAAACAGCAATACCGCAAATAATAGGCCAGATTAATATCGGGTTTTGTTTTGAGTTGTTTTTGACAAGAGTTTAACCTGTGTTAGCATGCATGAATTCTTTCACTGCTGTAATAATTAAACATAACTGATAATGACCTGGGATTTTCTGGCAAATGATTGAAATACATGAGTGTCACAGAAACTGTTCAAAATGTTTAAATAAGGGCAATTTTACATACATTGATATTATATCAGCATTCAATGGGCCCTTTCACCATTAATCTCCACTTTCGATTTTGACTAGTTAGCGAATATCCATCACCACTAGAAAATGTGCCTTACAGTAAGCCAACTTGCCAAGTTTGAAGATGGTATATCAGAAACCTCTGTAAAGTCAATATCACACAAAGCCATATTCTTGGTTAGTTTGCATCTAGCAACATTACTGATTCTTAAGGACGTTCACGCGAAAATCTTCTAACATTGATTTTTTTCTGAAACTTTCACCAGTTTGAGACTATGGGTTACTCATGTCAAAAATGTAAAAAAATTGGGGGGTCACCTAATTCGTTTCGGAGATATGATGTTCAAAAGATAACCCAACATCTGAGAAATCGGGCTTCGTTACTGCATACGGATAAAGTGCCTGTTTGTACAAAAAGTTTATAAATAAATCCCTGAATTGAAATTTTATCCGCCAATTATTGTTCTTGTGGATCTATAAACAAAATTCGGTGAACTAAAAAACTTCCTCAGAGTTGATTTTATCATTTAGCGGACACATTTCTACTCTCCTAACAGCCGCACGAATGCCAAAATTTGACGCCGCTTACACAGAAAAATTGGAAATTTTTTACCTTCCCACATTGATTTTTGACGTGGCGTGATATTGCGCTATGAATTACGTGCGCAGTAGGGATGCGCAGAAACAATTAGCGCGAAAGCCCTTAAGCCATTGTTTCCAGCAGTGTTGATGGACTCTCCCAAAAGTGTAAAAAAAAAAACATGAAAGTGTCGCCCATCACATCATAATGGTCTGCTGAACAAAAAAAACTCTTTTCTTCAAATACTTCCTTACAAAATTTGATATTAGCTTCAGTTGACACAAAGTTGCAATGTAATAATAATAATAATAATAAATTATTATTTTTAAAAAACACTAAAGCGCAAAGCTCTCAATATGTCAATATCAAGGGCCTTGAATGTAGGAAGTTGATAACGTCATTGGTTTATCAGTAATAGATCATAACCCACTCTTCAGATATCCTTAGAGCTCACTATTTGGGTCATTGGGGCAAAGCTATTTCCTTATCTTGTTTAATCATTTATCAGACACCAGTAATCTGCACACATAATTTGGGAAGGAACAAATACTAATTGTAAATTATAAATTAAATTGAAGTACTCTCTGTTATCTTTAAAGTTTACACTAACCATTCGTGTGCATTTCAGCGTGAGCAAACGATACAACTGTAAGCATATTATGTAATGGCACATTTTTTATATTCTTATGTGTCACCATCACTTACGTGTGTCAAAAAATGATTTGACCCTCTGAAAGCCAAAAAAGGGTTAAGCTCACCTTATTCCACGCACAGACGAAATACCCAAGTAAGTTTCGTTATACTGACTTCCAAACTTGAACAACTGAGACACGCTTTCGATATGCGCGCCAAAGCCAAAAAAGCTGAAGTGAAAATGGCCCTCTTCAGGGTGAGAAGCAGGAGTAACTGTACAGGTTTTGGAGCTCAAATTCACGTGAAGTACCTCGTCCATTGCGTAGTCGTAGATATCCATGTACGTTTGTCCATCTTTTGTTTGTTCAATCCTGCCCTTGTCAGCTTTCTGATCGTAGTACTCCTTGAAAAGTGCTGAGTAGTTCTTGTTAACGATGTTCACTTCCACAAGTGTTGAAAAAGCTGTGGGCAGCGTTGGAAGCTTAGGACTTGATCCATGGCTGCTATTTGAAGGCTGGCAAATGGGCTGCAGTTTCCCTGAAACAGCTCCAAAAGCTGCTATCAGGCAGAACAGAATAGAGACGTACATTGTGATTACAGCTGAGTCGAAAATGAAGTTCACGGCAGGTGCCTCGTGACATGGTATGATTAATCTTGCATGAATGAATGCACTTGGAAACAAAACATAGGTCGTCACATGGTGGAGGAGAATAGAAAGTGAGGGCAATGAAAAAGTTTTGTTCATTTTCTATTTCATCTCCAAACGTTACTTGCCTTGGGCGAAATTCTGCCATTTCCCGACACCTTCCCATTGTATACAGTAGACAAAAAGCCTGAATATAAGCAGTATCGTCTCATAAGTGAAGCAATTCAAGAGTAAATTCAATGAAATAAGCAACTCGTTCCCAGGGTCATCAAGGGAAAACAAGGTTGCATTTCATGGGTTCGTACATTACGTAACTGGTGCTTGGCGCTGTTAACCATTCGATAAACTTTGCAAATTTGTGTCGCTCTCTCTAATTGCATATTGGTAAGTAGACACTTTTCCCACTCATTTTGGTTGCTATCTACGCTAAAGAAAACAAAAACAACCCCCTACAATCCTAAATTAAGTAAACCCATTCCAAAAGGTAACGTAAAGCAATGTCCCCATGATTCAGCTGTTTTTGCCCACACGTAGAGTCGTACGAGTAGCTGTGAGTAGTTTCCAGTCGCGTTACTTTCTGGGCAAATTTGAATTCATTTAATATCTTGTAGAATTCCTGCTTTTTCCTTTGATAGTCAGGCTGAACTGTGGGACGATTGTTGCGTCGAAATTTTATAAAAATATTGATTTTAATAGAGAGGGGATCACAGGGTTAATGTTGACAGTTGACGGGACCTTAGTACTCGAAGAAAGCTGTTATAAAAAAAGCTGTTATAAAAGTCAAGAGACAGCAGAACAGATAGTCACAGCCTTGTAAAGTTAGTTTAATTAATTTTATATTTTCATTTCATTTTTACTTCCCAATGTCAGCCCTGTTATGATCATGCAAAAAGGAGAAATAAATTAATGTTACTCGGTCGCGAGGGATCATGCTGTTTAAAATGCTTAATTACAAACTTTCAAGAAGTCTCATCGAATGTATAAACACGATCTTATAAGGAAAACAATAGTAGGATGTGTCATTAAGTTTCTCATGTGTAATCCTTCTTAACAGATTACCATAATTTTCATCTTAGTGTGGACACATATTCTAATGGGATTTCCTGTAATTTATTACTATGTCATAATGGTGGCGAAATAGAATATTTAAAAAAATAATAAAAAATATGACGAAAAAACATGTTCTAATAGGGTTGAAACATGCGTTTTTTGGCCAGCACATGTTTGACAGCAAATAAGCAAACTGTCATGCCAAAGATTGAAGTTGTTGTCAAGCAAATATCCCGAGAAAACAGCCAACCTTCTACGATGCCACCACTGGTCAGGACTGGTTTCCCCGCAAAATGACGTCTGAGAAATGAGCGCAGAAATTCCTTACTGATGACGTGTAACTACCCAGATCTGAGTAGTGACGCGTCATCAGTATGGAATTTCTACCGTTGTTTCTCAGACGTCATTTTGCGGGGAAACTGTGGTGGGGTTTTGAAATGTAGGCTGTTTTCTCAGGCTATCAAGCAGCCAGAAATCAGGTCAAATGCTTCAAGCGACTAAAACAGTGGCCTACTTTGCATGTGAACATTTGTCTAACACCCTTAAACCTTGAAAAGCTTGGTGGTAAAACATGTCATGTTTGCACCCGATCAGATGTTCATTTTTGCTTGCATGTCCATACATATAGTTACTATTTGCATAGTCATGTAAAGCATTTACTTGTACTGGTCTGTCATATCTAGTAATCAGATCCACAGTCGATCTACTACTCAGGGTTATTATTTTACTGTTTTTAACAGATCCATGAGGAGCCAGGCACAATTGTTTTAACAATGACAGACAAAGGTAAAAGTCATTTGTTTGACTACTGTTACACGTGATAAATAGTGTATTTCCTTGAATAATAACCTTCCCTCGATTAATCGCCTCCCTCGAATTATCATCCTCCTAAGGCCCTTTGACGGAAATATTTAAAATAATTGCGCCTCCTTTGAATAATCGCCCCCCTTTTGCCCTCTTGTTATTTTCTCTTCCTTTTATCCCCTCCCTGTCAAGTTTAAGTGCAATGTGATCCAGCAAAACTGATCAGTGATGATTCAAGCTCTGAAAATTAATCAAGTGACTAAATTTGGAACCCTTAAAAAGCCCATGTTCAGTTTATTTGATGTAATTATTTTTTGATGGGAAAATAATACAAAATATTTAGGGCACGACGTCCAGTTTTAGCAATATTTGAAAAAACTGCCTCCCTATCACTTTCCCTTGAATAATTGCCCCCTTTTTTGTGCAAAAATGGAAATAATCATCCCCAGCTATTATTCAAGGAAATACAGTATGTTGAAGTTTGTAAGATTTTTTGAGCCTAATTCCGTACCAGTCAATTTAATGTTATAGTGACCCATGCCATGTTAAAATGTATGCCTGTTTATCTAGTTTCCTAAGTGATTAATATATTAAATAAAATTGATGCTTTATTGATTAGTGGATTAGTTAAGAACATGGTGCTCAAAAACAAATTCATTCAAAGTAAAATATCAAAACCAATCTTAAATCCTTCCACCTTGGACTTTACTCCATCTTTTGCTTCACTTGATGTTAAAACAGTTATAGCCTGTTAGGTCTCCTTGTCACTTCCCTTTTTCTACTCATCTTTTTTTTTTTGTATAATTTCTATTATTGAATGGCAAATAAATAAAATAAATAAATAGATAAATAAAGGCAAGCAGGTACGCAACTGAGCCTAAGAATGACGAAAAGTTTCAGACTACAGTATCTGCTGTTGATTAAGTCCCCTTGTGGTATGTTTAGCTCATGAAACGTTTGCTGTCTGAACTGGGTACATATCTTGTATTACTTGTGGCTTATTGTGCACTTATGTACATTTGTATGTACTTACATGTATAATGCATACATGTACGTGAGTTTGGACTGTGTATGGAGGCACCATAGATTAACTGCATGATGCTATTTACAGAATGATAAAAACCCACAACAGAACATTTGTGTAGCTTCTTCCAACATGGATGAAACATGTCACATGGTACTGAATTATCAGGTGTTAGGTTTCGATGAACACCCAACATCTGATATTCCGTGTAATGTTCTTGCTTAATCCTCCCTCAAGTCCAAAATACAAACTAGTCCCATTCCCAATTTTACAGTGTAGTAGTAAAAATTTATTCTTCTTTTATTTTTTTATAATCCAAAATTGCTGCTTTATGCTATTATCGAATTAAGTTAGTGGCATAATTTATATTATGACCTTATTACAAAACGATATGTGTTGATTTTAAGTTATTATAGGTGTATTTCTTTCATTGGCCTCAAAGCCAAAAATGGTTGTTTTGGTTTGTATGTGTAAAATTTTCAGAGGTACTTCTCTGCAGGGAGGCCTGACTTTCAGAAGGATTAAAGAAAGCAGTAAATTCTCTCAGGGGGATTTCTTAATTTGACAAGTTTAATAATATTATTTTACTGCATTAAGGGAGCAGCATTTATGGACTAGTGGTTAAAGCGCTGGACTTGTAATTGTAAATTCAGAGGCCGTGAGCTCTAGTTCTGTCCTGACTGCTAGCTGGATTTGTTCTCGGTGGTCCTGGGATCCTTCATCATACTTGCAAATAGCCAGCTGATTACCTCCAGCCAGCTGGGACTCTTAACCCTGTTAAGTTTAATTTGAATTATTTGTTTCCGACATTTGGTCAGTTCCCCTAGCATTAGTGCTATAAATACTTCCAAGGGTAAACAAAGGATATTACAATTAATAATAGTAATTATCATTGTCATTGATATTACAGGTTCTGACTCTGAACAAGTGCCTGCAGCTGCAAATGCAGTGGATAGTAGTCCACCTCCCTATCCATCAGAGCTCCCACCTCCTTATATACAGCAGCCTGCTTACCAAGCACCACCCAGTTATGAAGTTCCACCTAGTTACCAAGGACCTCCTGCCTATCAAACTTTACCTGGTTACCCAGCCGGGCAAGTGTATCAAGGTGTTCCTGTTGGTTATGTGGTTGCCACTGTAAGCTTTGAGTTTGTTGACCTGCAAATACCTGTAGTTGACTAATAAAAACTGGACACGCAGGTCCTTGTTTTAATTTAAGTATTTGAAATTTCATACAGTGTAAGAAACAGGTACTCTCCCCTCAAGTGACAGAGATCTTTTCATTCAGAGTGACACCAAACACCTGGAATTCATGGAAAACTCCTTGAAACTTCTGTTAAATTGCACCCTCTTGATTAAAACTGTTGGGTTTTTTTCTGTCAGCTATTATCTCTCTGGAGGTGGGGGGGGGGGGTACTCAAGGGAAGTTTGGGCAGAAGTGCAGTGCCGCTGATCAGGTCTTCAAATCCCAGCCCTGTTAAGACAAAAATTGTTCATTATGCTATGCTGTTTAAGACAAGAGATCTCATTAATTTTTACGACCCTGTTCCATTTTATTTTAGACTGCTTATCGCCAACCTTCACACTCTTTTAAAGAATTCTGTTCCAAGGACACCTTGTTCAAGATGCTAAAGAGTGAAATTGTATACCCTTTTTAAGATTCAAGACCCTGAAAACCATACCCTGTTCAGCATCACATACCCGTAAAGGCCAATAAGGGAGTGCCCCTCCCCAGCAGGCTATGTACTCCTTCTATACAAACAGTTGTAGAGAACAATGTTTATTCACATATCTAAACAGACACATCTATAAAGCTACTTTAACAGTATTTTGCAAACTTCACCCCCGGTTATACTTGATGTTTACAGCAACCAAGTTCCTATGTGGTTCAACCTACATCCATGCAGGATATTCCCCCTGACTATCAAGGCCTTTCTTGGTTTTCCTGTTTGTGTTGTTGCTGGCCTCTTGGAATTGTAGCCATACTAAAGTCAAA